GTAGGCCTTCATAATCTAACTTTGGTTACTGATAAACCAGCCATAACCTTGTATTGAAAATATCACTAGGCAGACCTATTTCTCTTATCAGGTTACACCAAGATCTCCCACACTGTCATGTATAGAAGAGATTTATCACTAACAGTACTGGTATCAAAGTGAGAAAGAGGATGTTGATTCTTGTGCAACAACAGTTTCCCACTAGTGTGAATTTTTTTAATTACATGCTTATAGAACGAAACCCAGCTCTGAACTTGACTCACTGTGACTCAGTTAAGTTACCTGTTGCAATTTCCGAAAGAACTTTACTACTCACTGACTTTACTGGGAAGTTCTCAGTTCCAGTTACATAGGGTAAAATTTTTTTGCTGTTGTGCAAAAGGTCCTACTGACTTCTGTGGCCTGTGTATGTGATTAAGGTAATGTTTGAAAACGTAAATACTAATTCTTTTTTTTTTGTAGTGACAATAGTCAAGGTGGTCTCTCAAGTATTATGACTAACAAAAGGTAAATGATGATCAGTGAGTGYTCATCTGTGGACTGCCAATAGAGAAAAAACAATGGATTTTCTACCCGTATACTGGCCTTTGTTCTGGATACTTTAAACTTGTCAATTTTCACAGTTTTCAGCTACRTATATTAAATAAATAAATCCTGAGCCTTTCATGAATAATGTAATTAAAATGTAATGTAGTGTAAAACTTTCTCAGACAATCCTTTGCCAAATATAAAYATCCCTTCCACTCAAAAATACAAACCTGGTCCAAATTCACTTAACTTTCACCTGTTCAAGGAACTTTGCTGTCTTCTCTGTATCAGCAGGGTTTTGTGCTAGATCAACTCTATCTCTYACCCTCATGCTAGTTAAAAGTTTGAATGACATCCTTGCTGTCCACTTTGGTTACTTTGTCAAACACATAACCATCTACATGTCACAACAAAATCAGGTCCAAGCAGGTGACCTGGTAGCTCACAGATTTGGGAACTATGGCCTAAGAGACAGGGTCAACCAGACTGTGTTTAGMTAAAATGGTAAAGGCACTGCTAAGCCAGAGTACAACCAATACAGCTGATGAAACAATGCTTTTTTAATTATCAAAATACAATTTTTTTTTCTTGAAAGGATAATTTATTGTAACAGACCTTCTGTTATAGAGAATCATCTGCCCTCCTTTTGCTGATTAGCTGCCAGGACAGAAAYCTGAAGGTGACAAATAATGTCTAGCTTCTTCCGCCAGTTTGACAGGGGTGTGGCTTTGGGTTTATGACTCTTTTGTCTTTCCTCTGGGGTGATGAGAGTGCATGTTGCTGTGAAACCAAGATCATGGTCCATACTGAGCTCTGTATTGTCAGGCAAACTAGCCTGAGAGCCCTTTGAAAACCTGGCCTGCAAGGGGAAATTAAAAGGAAGAAAACAAACTAAACAGGGAATAAGCAAGCAATTGGTATGAATCTTATCAAATCAAATCACTTTCACTACTGGAAATTTGCAACAAAAAAAAAATCCTATGCATTTCTGGAGAGCTGGTAGCTGGGTCCTTGGCACAGCAATRAGCTCCATGCAAGGCTGCAAGGAGGGAAAAGGAATGGACATATTTCCTAACAGTTGATACTGGCTAACCCATAAAATAACCTACAAGGCACTTGAAAACATGCAAAGGAGAAGTGTCACATTTTAATCTGGAATTGCTAGAAATCAGACAGAGTTGGGAGTTTAAAATTATAATTATTTATTTTGGTAATTAGTTTTTTTTTTWWAAAAACAAAAATGCCTTATTCTATAAACAGAACTTCTAATTGCATCATGCCAGTTGACTACTAGTTAATCTCATCTCAAATAAAGATCAGAATAAGGTGATGCAATCATGAGAAAGATCAACTCAAAGGCAATGGAGGCAAATGCAATCTGGGCTTGAAAAGAGTAGCACAGGTAAGCAACGTGGCTGTGATCCCCTTGAGAAACAGGAGACATGCTGCCTTCCCCTGTCAGCCCCATTTCATTTATCCACAGCAGACTTKAAAGCATGATGTTAGGGGACATCATGTAATAAAAGAACAGGGAAAATGTTGTCCTGCTTAAGAAATTTTTTATTTTGAAAATYACAAAAAATACTAAGCATTAATAGCATATTTGGATTGGCAATCTGCAAGCAAGTGACCATCTCTGCATGCCTTACTCACAAAATGTGGTGCTCATCTGATCCAAATCAGGCCCAAGATGTGTGACAAAGAAGGATGACAGCAGATGGGTGTTCCAAACACCAAGGGTGAGAGACATTTGCTTTCCTGCCTGCAACCCAGGGAAGCATCTGCGTAGTTAAAACAGAAGTGCTGTTACATTAACCATGTGAAACCGTTAGCAGGGCACATAGCAAGGCCCATCTGTTTATTCAGGCCTCTGTGAGGGGGGGAGAGYGGCTGTTTTGTTGTTTTCTAAGCATGAATGGCACATGATTCAACAAGGAATCAGAAAACTTTTGGTTGTTGCACACACATTAAAGCTGTGAGGAACTGCATTTTAATCTTTCACATAGGCAGAAAGGTTGACAGCCCTTATATTTCAAAAACTAGAAAGCAAATACATAAATCAGCTAGAATGAGCTGACCTCATAATAAAGAACTAAAAATATACCTTCAATCACCATGTAACAAAAAAAATGAACAAATTATTACTTTTAGGTATAGATGCAAATCCCCCCCTTTTTTTTTAAACTACTGATTTCCCAAACTAGAACTAAAACTTCCTGACTCCAACAGGGGTCTGCGACAGTGCGTGCCAGAAGGCAGCTGTTTGTGCCACAGTGGGAAAGCTGGGCACTACACAGCTGGGAGCTGCACAGCCACGCACAGAACTGACAAGCCCTGTCCCAGRGAGCTTACATTTCAAGTGCATGACTGGGGATAGCAGATGGATAGAGATGGGAGATGATGAAAACAGTGTGATTCCAGACAGTCTCAAATCCCAGCTGCTTACCACTCTCTAMTATTGCCAAGTTAAAATTTCACAGTCTTACTGTCACAGCAGAGTTTGCTCTGCTCTTCCTCACTGAAGAAGAGGAGTAGTTGGGCCTTCGAGCATGCTACAAAAGRGCTGCAGGCTGGAGTTTGCTGCAGAAGCATTTAGTATTGCGATAGACRCAATAAAAAGTCGTGTTTTTTCACTTTTCCTTGCTGCCTTGTAAATGGGAAAGTGGTCGCAGAGCTGAGTTACGTGCTCAGTGGTACGGACTGATGGAGGCCGATATGCTGGGCACACAGTGCTGGAGGTCAGCCCTTTAACCTCTGAGCAGAGGCTGACAATCGGTGGGGGCTTTCATGGGCTTCGGGAGGCGGCCAGGACACAAGCAACACATTTCCCTTGAGGRAAGCGAGTCTGAGGCGCAGCTGACGGCTTAATGCAGCTCCCGTGCGAAGGCAGGCAGCAAAACACAACTTCTGGTGAAACGGCCTCCACACCCAAAGATGCTTTTAATCGAGGGATTCAGAAATAAAAACCCCAAATGCCAACAGGGGGACAAGCGTGGTTCAAGGCACGCTGCAGTTGCTGCTGCAAGTGACTCACACCGAGCCACCACCGACGCGGGGTGCAGCTCCCGGGCGACTCCCGCATCGCCGTCCCTCCGGACCTGCCGGAGCGGGAAGCCATGAAGTTTCTTCTCGTCACTTTCCCAACCACGAGGCCGGCTCGGGCCGGGCGGGACACGGCACCTGGGGGCGGAGCGGCAGCGGGGCGGGCCCGGCCGTGGCCGGCGGGAGGAGCCGGGCCGGGGAGGGGGCGGCCCGGAGCGGCGCTGCCGGGATGGGAGCGTGAGAGGGGCCAGTCCGTGGCCCGAGGAGCTGCGGTCTGTCGCCGGGGCTGCTGCCGGAGGGCTCGGACCCGCCATGGAGCCGGTGACCAGGTGGAGCCCGAAGCAAGTGGTGGACTGGACTAAGGGTAAGAGGGAGCCGGCCCTGCCGTCTGTGCTGCGAGGAAACTTTCCGGCGGCGCGCTGGGGGTGCCCCGCTGCCGGAGCGGCTCCTCTGCCCGGCGGGGCGGCTGCGTGGGCGGCCAGGGGAGCGCGGCCTCTGCCAGCGCCAGCGCCAGCCCCGGCCGGGCCCCGGGACTCCCCGGCGTGGTGTTGGGGAGCTGGCGGCTTCCCGCGCCCTCCTGCCGGCGCTCCGTACCTGTCTGAGGCTGCTGAGCCTTTCGGTTTGTTTTAGTTTTTGGGGGTTTTTTTTTGGTTTGTTTTTTCCTTTGGGGACACGGGGAAAGTTTTGCAGCTAGACTGGCTGACTCGAGGTAGGTGTATATATATATATATATATATATATATATATATATATATATATGTATGTATATGTATGCAGTGGGGTCTCTACCCACAGCTCGGTCCCCATCTCCCTAGGATCGTGCTGGCCAGCCTGCTTGCATGGCGATGGGGGTGACCGTGCTCTTCAGGCAGGTAGAATCGTGGAATCACGGAGTCGTTTAGGTCGGAAAAGTCCCGTGAAAGTTAACTTTGAGCTTCTCAAGCGAAATCCGCTCACGGGGCGAAAAAACTTCGGGATTGTAAGTTAAGSAAAAAGTTTTTAAACTAGCTCAAGTAAGCAAGAGCTCTCAATCCTGTTCAGCGGTGATGGGACTGAAGCGCTGGGCTCTCATTCGGAGAGGTGAATAGCGGCCCCTTCGTCCGCCAGTCTGTCCCATCCATCCATCCATCTCTCCCACCCCTTCATCTCTCGGCTTGTGCTTGTGTCTCTCTCCTTCCTCCGCCTACTAAAACATCCTCCTGTGCTTCGAGGTTTGTTCGCAATGCTGACACGGCAGCGAAAGGCTCGGCGGGGCCGGTGTGTGGAGCCCGCCCAGCGCCGGGGGTCTCTGGGGGGCGGGATGGGATGGACGGGGTGCGGCGTGGGCTGCGGGCGCCCCGCTCCTGCAGCAGCATTTCGGCAGCGCTGGGTGTTAGCGGGGCTTTCTCTGAGGRCAGGTTCTACCTCGTGTTGTCATGCTCCCGTTGGACCCTGCGAATGCTTTCCAAATGCCGACCGGGGTGTCGCAGTTCCCGCTCCACAGGGAATGAATCAAAAGTGGAGCTAGGAGATAGATGAGGGATTTATGACTTCTGAAGTGTACGTCTCTTTTTTGTTTTTTTTTCTTGTAGCATTACGTTTTAGTGTGATCCTCTTTGGTTACATAAAGTATTTCCACGGGCTTAGYGGAGTTTTAAGTTGATGAGAAGTTTTTTTAGGAATGTTTTGAGAGGTGAAAGTTTGCCCGGATTAGAAGCGGCATTTACTCCCAGCAGCCATTAGTGCCGTGTCTCAGGACCATAATGCTGATTGGACTGCGTGCCTGTGGTCAGCCCTTGGCAGGAGTGCGGCTCAAACTGAGGCAAATTTGGAAAGCAGACTCATGTTTGCAGACAGCGAGAGATGGATACTCCCAGCCCTCCTGAGCGTGAACATGTGCGTGAAGGGGCCGGTGCCAGTGAGGGACTGTCCAAGCAGCCTTTGTGAGAAGAGAATTCCACACAAACGTGCTGTGAAGTTATGCGTTAACATATAAATAATTTCCACAGAAAGATCTCTCTTTTTTTTTTATGCTTGGTATTGGTTTAAACAGGAGTGCATTGTTCCAGTGAAATAAGCCTTTTGCTTTGGCATGTGGAATATTTATATAAAGCTTTTCCCTCATTGTGTTTTTTCTCTTGGGTGCTGAAAGTTTGTTACCTTGCCAGATTAAAGAGAAAACCTGCTAATCATTTTAAAAGCCTTCATTATTCTGAAGCATGCTTGGCTTCCTTTCTTACATAATTTATTTTACTTGCATGTTCCTTGGACAGGTAACTCTTCAGCTGGACCCTCAATTAGTGTTATGCAGAATAATTTGAGGGCTGGCTGTGTTTGGGAGGTGGATCTTYTGACTAATGCAAACACGTGTTCTTTGAAATGTAAAGGAATAAATTAAAGACTGCTGGTGACTTTTGTTTGTGCTGTTGTTTTTCAGTTTCTAGGTAAGCGTTCACCTTCTTCAGTACACAGAGTCATTTTATGTCACTCCCAGCATGACAAGACTGTAATAAAGAAATGACATGTGGAAAATTTTTCTTTATGGTTGTACTTTCATCTCTGCACATGAAAACTGAGACTTGAATGGCTAGCTAACAGCCTTATTACCACGTTTCATAGTTTATTTTTAATCTGAAATAGTTTTTTACTGTTATTTACAATCACTGGGTTTCATGTTTGACCAAGACCAGTTTATTTTACCTTTTGAATATTCCATTTAATTCTCAAGATTAGTTTTATGAAACAAGTGATTGGAGAGGAGCTTATGCTCTTTATTTTCTTGCACGTGCCTTCTATGAGAAGTGATACCATGATCTTTATTGAACTGSTTGGACTCTGGTGATATCTGCTGCCAGTAGTTAGTGCTGTGGTGTCATGGAGATGTATTCTAGGAGCCTGACGTAAATAACTAGTGGGAGATGCCAGCTCTCAGTGGGGAGATTGGTTTTGCAGATAATGATTCCTGCTTATCATACAATGATAAAAAATACCTTGGCAAAATGTAGAGAATGGTGGAAATAAGTGGTCTGGCTCAGTCCATTTTAATGTTTAATGTGCAACTGAGAATATTTGTCCAGGAACACTTCCCCCTCTCTCCCCCTCTTCCAAATCTTTTTACAATCAAACTTTAATAAACCAGTTTTTTTAAAATAACTTTTCCAAACCAAAAGGAATCATGGAAGCTTCCCCTTTTTTCATGAAACAACCCCCTAAAAGCTAAATCATAAAGTGGGCTGTATGTTTGCTGCTGGGCAGCTTATTTGCTCTTTGTCAACTAACTTTTTGAGTTGCTTTTAAGTAACTATTTTAACAAGATAACTCTTGTTCTGAAGAGTTTTGCTCTGTCATTTTGAGTTGGYCAGTCCCTGGTAATATAAATAAAATGGTAATAAAATACTGTAAAAAGGTGTTTATCTCGAATATAAAATAGAACCTTTCAAGAAGTAGTAAGCTGAACATAAATATTTTTAGATGTTTGTAGTCAGGTTTTAAATAAAAAGTGCTCTGTTTATTGTTACCAACAACAGCTGATACAAAACATAGCTGCTTGTCTTCTCTTGCTAATTCAGACTAGAATGCTGCCATTTTTTGTGAACAGGGGTGTTTTTTCTGGCACTGTGCACTGTACTGTCAATAGCGGGTTATGCAGCTAATACGAGCTGGTCTAGTTAAACTGAAACTGCAGAGGAGGAGGTGTGCTTTTATTGCTAGCAATTTGTTGTGTATATGAAGCGTTTCTCAAGCTTTGACCAAGGATGTGATAAATTTTTAGCTACAGCATCAGTGTTTGAAAATGATCTGACTTTTTTTTTAGAAGTACCACCTTGATTTCTATCTGGAAGAAATGATGGTGTAGCTTCAGGTTTCTTTTACAGCACAGTGAATTCAGATAGTACTTAGGCGCCGTATTCAGCCATGGAAAGGTACGTATTTGCCTAGGATGCTGTGTTGATTTACTTGTGGCTGGGGTGGCTGGAATTTATGTTCTTTGAATGATATTGTCTGCATTGTTTCCTAACTCTGCTGAGAAGATGTGTTTAGATTTTGTTTCTCTGGGTTTTTGTTAATTGATCTTTGTTGTTCTATAGACTAACATATGGATAGTGTTGGAATTGACTTGTGGTCTTGCTTTTGTGCAGTGTAAGATGCTTAGGGGCTCAAAGTCCTCACCTGTATATCACAGCATTTTATTGTGTGAACTTCTCTGGAGTTCCTCAAGAGGTATTCTTAGGGTTATTCAGGTTGTTGTTGGACAGGTGAGTGGCCATGGAAATTAGCACATCTGCAGTACCCTGTATAAAGTGACTGAATTTTACTGGCATAATGACAGTTTTAAGAAGACAGAGTGATGTAATGGTATGGTGAAACTTTGTGGTCTCAGAAGCCCCTGGATACTGCATATCTCCTGTGTGAGATATGTCACTGCTGTCTTAGAGAACATTGCTGTGCCTCCTCTTTGTTTGCTGTAGCCTGATCTGTCTCTTCCCCCTTTCCCCAGGCTTCACATACTTATGTGAGTTGTGACTTCAAGCCAAATTTTACACGGTAAAGATGGTTTGACGYGCTTGTGGTTAGAAGCCTCTGTTGTTGTGAGGCTCCATTACAGTCTGGCCYTTGTTGCTGGAGCTGTAGACTCAGCTGGCGGGAGATCACGCGTCTGCTTTGGGATCATTATTGCACTCCAGGTTCAGTTATTCCCTTTCTCAGGAGCTCAGGGACATTACTTATTCCTCCATCTGTTATGTCATGAAATACTCAGATTTCCATTCCTGGTAAAGCTGTCAGGCAACTACATTTATAGGTATGTCTGGGAGAAGAAGGAGAAATACTCTAATTTATTAATAGTTAGCAATTAATCGTGAGGGCCTGGTGTTCTTTTTTTAGAGCTATCTTGCTTACCCAGGGAGATTTCAACAAGGTCAATCATGTTAACTGTGTGCTGGAAGCTGCAAACCAGAGCTGGGTTTTAGGAACAATTATGGGTGATGCTTAGCACTGGAGTTATTTTTTAGCTTCTCTTTTTTAGGCACACTCAAGTGAGTACTCTTGTGATCAAATTGTTTGGGAAGATCTGACACTAAGAAAATAATAGTTACTTTGTAAGACAAGAGCATTTTCCTTTCAGTGTGGAATAGCAGTGCTGCCCATAACTGGAATACAGAAGAATCTCTTCCCTGTTKCCTAACATTTACTTGGTTACCCAAAAAATAATCTATACGAGTATATGTTACATAGATCAGAAAATGGTATTGAATACACCCTTTGCAGATCTGGGCTTGCCCATAATATTATACTAGCAAAAGGGAATATACTAAATACATCTCTTTACATTTSTTTGTGGGCTGAAACAAAGTAAAAACTTGCACAACAAGTTTATGCTACTTC